TTGGACTTTTCTTCACCTCACACTGTAAGTCTAATCATTTGCCAAGTCTTCCTCAGCCCCTTTACTGTCCGTCTCCATTACCGCTCACAACTATCAGTCCTAGATCCGGACTCCTTACCTCTTGACTGGACTATTGCAGTAGTTTCCTGTTATAGTTTAACTGCTTCCAGTTCTTCCCACCTATAACCCATTTTCTGTGCAGCTACCAAAATAAACTTTATAAAGCACAGGTCTGTGTCATTCTGTTTTAAAACCTTTAGTAGACTCCTTTGACTGATTGGGTAATAGATAAACTCTTCAGCAGAGTATAAGGCACTCTGTAGTTGAACTTCAACCTACTTTTGTAACCTTGTTTCACAACAATCCCAATCACTTGCTCTATGTTTCAGTCAAATTTGCTGAATAGATTTTACTTGGATTTTATGTTCTGTCTCATGTTCCTGTTTAAACAGCATTTTGATGAGGCCAGGGTTAGGCAGGAAGTTGATGTTACCCTCAGTTCCCAGAGAAGACTCTAAACTGCCACTCATTTGTGTCCCCCCCCCATTCCTCGGTCTTGCTTGTATCATCCTTCAAGGATCATCTCAAGAACCACTTCCTGTGTACCCTTCTCTGATCCCCTCAATTAAGTATTTATTTAATTTGTTTAAATTTTCCTAACATACTTTATATCACTGTCCATATTACTTTATACTTTTTTATATTTGCCTATATATGTGGTATTTGACTTCTTCCCTCTCTCAAAGCATGGAAGCTCCTTGAGAGTAGATATCTTTTTAAAATATATGTATACCCAATACTTACCCAGTGTCTTAGACATAGTAAATTTTTAGAAAATGTTTGTTGACTTACTGAGGAGGTGATTCATAATTGATATTATGGGGTGGAGACAAGATGGGAGTAAAAGCAGTGACTTGCTTGAGCTCTCCCCCAAACCCTTCCAAATACCTATAAAAAATGACTCTAAACAAATTCTAAAGCAGTAGAACCCACAAAAAGACAGAGTGAAACAAATTTCCAGCCCAAGACAATCTGGATGGTTGATTGGGAAGGTCTGTCATGCTGGGCTAGAAGAGGAGTGAGTTCTGTGTGGGCGGGCAGGCCTCAGCAAACCTGGAGCATGCTACAGAGGACTGAATCGTGGGCAGCTGTGGTGGTTTCCAGACTTCTCAGCCCATGAATGCCAAAGACAACTTAGAAGCTCAGTAGGAAAAGTCTGTGTCTGCGGTGGTGAGAGAGAAGCACGGGGTCCCAGCCCCAGTCCCCAAGCTCAGCCCTGAGGCGGTGGCTGCTTCCAGAGCTTCTGGCCCACAGACTGAGAGGGAATCGAGTGGCTGATCAGAGAGGGATTGCAGGGATCTCTTTGCCGGTGTTGAGGAAGTATTCTCTTGCTTTACCTGTGCTTGGATCTGGGTCACAGTTCTGGGTGGTGTTCCTGGGGCAAGGAGGAGCACTGGCATCGTGAAGCTTGTAGTGGCGGTGGAGAGGAAATCCTCCTCACAGTTCCAAGACAGAAAAGAGTGCTCATTGACCAGAACACAGGCCAGGAAAGGAGTAAACACCTTGCCCTTGATCATAGCACCGTGGAAGAACCAAAAATTAGAGGTGCTTTGAAGTATCTCTGAAAACAGTTGCACAAAACCCCAAAAGCTTGGGACAGTATGTTCTCCACACTGGAAACAGACCCCTACCTTAACAAAGAGTTTAAACTCAAGTAATTGGCTGGGATCATGAACAAGCAGAGCAAAAAGAGACCATAGAATCTTTCTTTGATGACAAGATCAAAACATAAAAGAAGAAGAAGACAACAAAGTCAAAGCTCCTACATCCAAAGCCTCCAAGAAAGGTATGAATTGGTCCCAGGCCATGGAAGAGCTCAAAAAGGATTTTGAGAAGCAAATAAGAGAAGTAGAGGAAAAACTAGAAAGAGAAATGAGAGTGATGCAAGAAAATCTTGAAAAACAAGTCAACAGCTTTCTAAAGGAGACCCAAAAAAATACTGAAGAAAATAACACTGTAAAAAATAGCTTAACCCAAATGGCAAAAGAGGTCCAAAAAGCCAGTGAGGAGAAGAATGCCATATAAAGCAAAATTGGCCAAATGGAAAAGGAAGTCCTAAAGCTTACTGAAGAAAATACTTCCTTAAAAATTAGAATGGAGGGGCAGCTAGGTGGTGCAGTGGATAGAGCCCCAGCCCTGGGTTCAGGAAGACCTGAGTTCAAATCCAGCCTCAGACACATCACACTTACTAGCTCTGTGACCCTGGGAAAGTCACATAACCCCATTGCCTAGCCAAAACAAAAAACAAACAAAAAAAAATTAGAATGGAGCAGTTGGAAGCTAATGACTTGATGAGAAATCAAGACACTGTAAAACAAATCCAAAAGAATGAAAAAATGGAAAACAATGTGAAATAACTCATTGGAAAAACAACTGATCTGGAAAATAGATCCAGGAGAGAGAATTTAAAAATTATTGGACTATCTGAAAGCCAAGATCCAAAAAAAGAGCCTAGACATCATCTTTCAAAAAATTATCAAGGAAAACAGCCCTGATATTTTAAAACCAGAGGGCAAAATACAAATTGAAAGAATCCACCCATCACCTCCTGAAAGAGATCCCCAAAGGAAAACTCCTAGGAATATTGTAGCCAAATGCCAGAGTTCCCAGGTCAAGGAGAAAATATTGCAGGCAGCCAGAAAGAAACAATTCAAGTATTGTGGAAACACAGTCAGGATAACACAAGATTTAGCAGCTTCTACATTAAGGGACTGGAGGGCATGGAATATAATATTCTGGAGGACAAAGGAGATAGGATTACAACCAAGGATCACCTCCCAGCAAAACTGAGTATAATCCTTCAGGGTAAAAAATGGTCATGCAGTGAAATAGGGGATTTTGAAGCATTCTTGGTGAAAAGATCAGAGCTGAATAGAAAGTTTGACTTTCAAATATAAGACTCAAGTGAAACATGGAAGAGGTAAACAGGAAAGAGAAATCATAAGAGACTTATTAAGGGTGAACTGTTTACATTCCTTCATGGAAAGATGATATTTGTAACTCATGAGCCCTTGGTCAGTATTAGGGTAGTTGGAGGGAAAAAAAATTATATGTATGTGTGTGTGTGTGTGTGTATGTATGTGTGTGTATATATATATATATATATATACATACAAATATATATGTATGGATAGAGGGCACAGGGTGAGTTGAAGATGAAGGGGTGATATCGGGAGAATAAAATTGAGGGATGAGAGAGGATTATACTGGCAGAAGGAGAAAGTGAGAGATAGAATGGGATAAATTATCTCACATGAAATAAGACAAGAAAAGACTTTTACAGTGGAGGGGAAACAGGGAAGGTGAGAGGGAATGAGTGAATCTTATTCTCATAGGATTTGACTTAAGGAGGGAATAACCCTCAATTGGGTATGGAAATCTATCTTACCCTACAAGAAAATGGGGGGGTGGAGGGGACAAGAGAGCAGGGGGATGATAGAGGGGAGGGCAGAAGGGGGGAGGGGATAATCAGAAGTGAGCACTTTCAAGGAGGGACGTGGTCAAAAAGAGAATAGAATAAATGGAGGGCAGCATAGGATGAAGGGAAATATACTTAGTTTTCCACAGCCTAACTACTATGGAAGTGTTTTGCATGAGTACAGATGTATAACCTGTATCAAGTTGCTTGCCTTTTCAATGAGGGTGGGTGGGGAGGGAAAAAGGGAGAAAATTTGTAACCCAAAGTTTTAAAAACATGTTAAAAAAATTGTTTTCACATGCAACTGGGAAATAGGAAATACAGGAAATGGGGTATAGAAATCTTTCCTGCCCTACAGGAAAACAGAAGGGGAAGGGAATAAGGGGGGAGGGGGAGAGATAGCAGGGAGGGCAGATTAGGAGAAGGGGTATATAGAATGCATGCCATCTTGGGGTGGGGGGAGGGATGAGATGGGGAGAAAATTTGGAACTCAAAATCTTGTGGAAGTGAATGTTGAAAATTAAAAATAAATTTAAAAATAAAATAAAAAATAGATACAGTAAATAAAAAAAAATTGATATTACGTACTTGGACTTTTCTTTGCTATCACATTAATTGTGTGTATGGGGGAATTGAAGTTCTTTATCGCCTTCATTTCTGTACAGATCCTTTCTTCTCCCCTACCCAGCAAATTTTCTCTTTTAGTAAAGAATAGGGAAAAAAAAGGAAAAATAGTTCAGTAAAATTAACTAATGCATTGCTGAGTTTGACAGTATATCCAGTGTTCCACACTTTTATGTCTTCACTTCTGCAAAGGAAAAAGAAAGGTACATTTTTTAATACCTGTTTCAGGTTGAAGCTTAGTCATTATAGCTGCACAGTTTCATTTTTATTGTTGTTTCCATTTACATTGTTTTTTATTGTATAAGTTGTTTTCTGGTTCTACACATTTCATTTTGCATCATTTCATTCTCTTCCCAGGATTATGTGAATTCTTATCCATTGTTTCGTATATAGCATCTCACATAGGCTTTCTAGAATTCAGTTGAAGTTATTTGTATAGTGCTCTGCATTGCTGAAATGGTGGAATGTTGTCATTGCTAAAGAATTACCAGTTTTAGTTGTGATATAATTTAGTTTCTTAACAGGAGCTAAATGAGTGGTTAAAATTATTTTTTTTTTAGTAAATGTAAAAAGGATATTGATCCTTAATAAATGAAATATTTTTTGCTTTTATTTTGGTTATGCTTTCAGGAGGTAAATAATTAAAAGTACATTTGATTACTTTAAAAATTTTTTGCATTAATGGATATCCTGAGTAAGAATATATTTTGAGATCTGTATTTTGGTAAGTATGATAAGATGTTTTTTCACATTATTTTATCTGTTTACTTTTTAAATTTTCATGTCAAAAGTATTAAAACTTGATATATAGACTAAGTCTTGGTTTACAGGAATTTAACATTTTTGTAAAAAATAGTATAATTTTTAATTTTTGTTCACCCCCACCATTTTTTTTAAGAGTATGAAGATGGCGATCTTAAATCATGGGTCAACAGAGAGAGATTTCAGAATTATCTTACTGTGGATGGCTTTACCCTCTATGAACTTACAGACACAGGTAAAGTATCATTGTAGCATATTTTTGATTGATTTAATGATTCTGAAGAAGTTATCTATAAAGGAAAATTTGTTAAATATTAATTTACTTTTAGTTTTCAACATTTACTTCCATAAGCTTTTGAGTTTTAAATTTTCTCCCCCTCCCTCCCCACTTCCCTAAGACAGCATGCAATCTGGTATAAGCTCTACATATACATTCCTATTAAACATATTTTAACGTTAGTAATGTTGTAAAGAAAAATCAGAACCAATAGTTTCAGTAGATGTCTTAGATCCTTGCATTGCTGAGAAGAGGTAAGTCTATCAAAGTCAGTCATGGCACAGTGTGTCTGTTACTGTGCACAACGTTCTCCTGGTTCTGTTCACTTCACTCGGCATCAGTCCATACAAGTCTTTCCAGGTTTTTTCTGAACTCTGCCTGCTCATCATTTCTTATAGCACAGTAGTATTCTGTTACATTCATATACCACAGTTTGTTCAGCCATTCTCCAATTGATGGGCATTCCCTCAATTTTTAATTCTTTGCCCCCACGAAAAAAAGCTGCTAGAAATGTTTTTGTATATGTGGGTCCTTTTCCCACTTTTATGATCTCTTTGGGATACGGCCCTAGAAGTGCTATTGCTGGGTCGAAGAGTATGCACATTTTTATAGCCCTTTGGGCCCTCTGCCTTCTTTTACTGCAACTCTTTCTCTCAGGCTTGATGCTTTAGGAAAACTTCCGTAGAATTAGATCTGTACTAATGCGGAATGGCCTTTCTCTAGAGGTAGCACGTTTCCTTTCGCTAGAGACCTTCAGGTGGAGGATGTACAACTATTATCCAATTATGTCATAGAATGGGTGTTATTCAGGTATGAGTTGGACCAAATGACCTCTGAGGTCCCTTCCAACTCTGAGAATTTGTGATTTTGCTCCTGTCCTCGTAACTAGTCTTCAGCCTTCTGCTTTTTTTTTTTCCTCTAAGATGACACCCTTACTCATTTTATTCAACTTAGAGCTATATGCTGATCATACCCATATTTATATCATCAATCAGGACTTCTTGCCTGAATTCTAATTTCATATTTCCAGCTATGAGTCAAATGACCTGGAAAATGAGGTATTTGGGATATTGGATCTTTAAGGTAATTTCTAACTCTTAAATCTTGTGACACTAGGAAAATGGTTTTATTTTTCTACCCTTTGACATGTAAACATGAAAAAAAAAAGTACTACAAAGTAGAGTACAAAGTAGCTTGATTATCTTTCATATACACTAAATAAAATGGATTCAGAAAGGATATATCAGTATAGTGTAGCATATATTTTGCAGAAGGTTAGTGGAAGAATGGAGATGCATCCTAGTATAGTGAGAAAAAACATTAACTGGCTTTGGAGTCTGAAGAACTTGTATATAACTGTAGATTGCAGCATTTATTTACTACGTGACTTTGGGCAAATTGCTACCATATTTTTTCTGAGTCTTAGTTTCCTTATCTGCAAAATGAACTTAATAGTTTTTACATTACCTACCTAATGAGATTGTTGTGAAGAAGTCCTAAAATGGTATAAATGCCACCTATTTCTATATTGAGCTTGACTTGGAAGAAATTATTTAAATTGGAGAAGTGAATGAAAAGGTGCTCCATGTGACATAAATAGTATAAGAACTTGAGGGAAATTTTGGAAAATTCTTTTCATATTTGTGTTCTACCTAGTGGTTAAGTAAATGTTAATTATTTTGGCTGTATTTGTGTATTATTGTTGAAGGGGAATGGTATTATGATTACGGACTTAAGTTTAGCATGGTATCTGGTGACTTTGCCATGAAAGAATTTAAGCTGAGTAGTACATAGGTAACTCGTTAGCTCAGCATTTCTTTTTTCTGTGTTGTTTTTCTATGACACCCCTATGTTATACTGGAAATAGTGCATGGTTTCTTATGTTTTAATTTGCATCTTAATGGTTTTATTATTATGTTTTTTGTCCACTAACAGTTTTAATTTTCTTTTGCATTATTATGTACTTGACAAACATCATCATCATCATCATCACACACACACACACACACACACACAAATACAAACACACATACAGAGAGGTAAAGAAGTACAGAAAAAGAGGATTGCATATGAAACCATAAATAGTATATTTATCTTGATGTTGTTTTAGTAAAATGTATGACAAATTCAGTTTAGTGGTTCCAAAACTGTTGTGGTAGTTTTGTGTCCACTTCTGAACTTTATTCTGCTCTTGCCTGTGCATTTTAAATGTTTCACTGGCCTCCCTCTCTCCCTCCCTCCCTTCTTCTTCCTTTTCTTCCTTCCTTCCTTCTTTCCTAAAACTCTAGTCTAGTAACTAGTATTTATATAGCTTTTTAGGGTTTACAAAATACTTTATACAATTAAATTCCTTTTGATTCTTACAACAACCATAGAAGATAGGTGCTCTTATTATCTTCATTTTACAGATAAGGCAACTAATTGAAATTAAGTGACTTGATCAGGGTCATAGAGCTAATAAGTGTCCAAGGCTGGATTTGACATCAGGTCTTTCTAGTTCAAGGTTCAGTACTCTGTCCAATGTGTGGAATAGCTTTCTGCCACTACCTCTTTTTTCCACATAACTTTTCTGCTTTAAAAAAATAAAAAGTCCTCTCATAGTAAAATTTTACTGGTCTAAAATTTAAGGAAAAAAATAATATTTCATGTACTTGCTTGAAATGAAATTTTTTGCCTTAGATAATTATGTCTCACTTGAATCAAACAAGTTTCATTTGGATTTTAGGAATACTACTTAACTGATTTCCTAATTCACTAGATATAAAAAGTGTGTCATAAGTAATAAAGTTGCATCAGTTATTTACAGAGAATTTTGATGAATTTAGAACTTTCTTTTTATTTCAGGAAAACTTATTGTCATAGCAGTTATTGATGGGAAAAATGCAACAGTTGAGCATACCAGGTATGATATTCATGAAAGATACAATTCTTAAAACAATTAAAACTTTAAAATAGTAGGGCTCAGCTTCAGTTTTATAACTACATATCTTTAGATATATTTAATATTTTGTTCTTTTCTTTCTCTTGTTAGTGTACCACTTGTAGCACATAGATAAACAAGTTATGAGAAAACTAAAACAGAAAATGATGTTATCTTCATGGTCATACACCTTTTTGGTCATGGATTCGTGAACAGAATCAAATGTACCTATTCCAATGAACACTTTCTTTCTTCAGAGCTTGAGAGATTGTATTGTTACTTTAAATGACAACACCTACAGTGTTCTGAGTCTCTAAAAAGCTTGTTGTTCAGCTTGGATATTTCTAGCTACATGATCTTTTGAGTAGGCCTTATGCTCTGCCTCTAATGCTGGTATTCAGTAAGATTAAGAAAAACTTAGCTGGTACCTCTCCTTCTCCCATACTAACTGAATATAAATTCTGTTCTCTTTAGATGGAGAATCAGAATGGAACTATGATTACCTTATAGGTTGGGGTCTATAGGCATTCATCAATTCCAGAAATTTGGATATGACCTGGCTTCTTAACCGGAAACCTCCAGTATTTGCTGGGTTTTTGAAAAAACCTTTCATTTCCAAAAATGTTGGTTTCTAGAAAGCAATCTCATTATTTTTCTCTGTATTTATGATCTGCAGCTTATATAAATTTATGAGATCTCTAAGCCTCAAGTTCCTTTTGTTGGCATTTTCCCACAATTGGTGAAGTAGACCTTTTCCTAGCAACCTTACTCTTAGTTATAATGAAAGTGTTCCCTTACACATCCCATTCTAGGCACTAATTCACTGCCCAGTTGTTCTTATTACTCCTTCCTATTTAAGAATAGTGGGCCTTTCCCTTTGAAAACCATGTAATGGGTCAGATTTTTATCTATTGAAAGGAGAATAAAACTGGGAAAAGTCCTATAACTGGTAAATCCTTAGTGTCTTGAGGCATGGACTTTGTGAGAGAATGTTTTTATGTTCTGTGGAAGTAAATAGTTATTAATTAACTTGTTAGCATTGCAGTCTGCATACTGCTATTTGTGTGTAGGTTTCATTCTTACCTTGACTATCTTTTGTTTTTAACCAGTTGAAACAAATTAATCACTGTGTTAACCTCTTAGTGGATAAAAAAAGGGAGAAAAAGTTTTCTTCCTTAGTAATTCCTGTTTTTAAACTAGGGGGAAAGTGTCTCACTAACTTTGTTTCTATTTTGACAAAAACAAAAATGGATCCTCTTAGTCAGTGGGATCATCTCAAGATTTATTTGTTATGTATATGTTGTGCTTTGTAAAGAGATATAGGGCAACCCTTTCTTAGAAGCAGATTTTCCCCTGATACTCCTCTGCTTAACTCCAGGAAAATGGTTACGTGACTAATACTGCACTGGCTGTCCCCACAGAGCACTGACTAGATCGCTGTGAAAGAATTTAATATCTCTCTCCCACAACTTTGAGCTGCACTTGGAGGAGAGGCCATGAGCAAAAAAGCTAACAGACCCAAGGCTGACTCCTTGCTGCAAAAGGCCTATGAGAAAGAGGAAACCAAACATCTCAGGCCAACCAATATGTTGCTTGTTATACCCAAGGACAATGTGATCATGATCTCAGGAATTTAAAAATTATTTCACCTTCTATTTGTTGCTTTATAGCATATAGAGCTTTTTTACAGTATATTATTTTACTTTATCCCCTTCATAGTCCTGTGAGGAAAGTGGAACAATTATTTGTATTCTCATTTTATAAATTAAGTATATTACCCAAGTCATATCAACTGACAGAGTCAGGAATCTGAGTCTTGATGTTCCTAATCAAGTGGCCTCTTTACTGTACCATTCTGTGTCTCTGAATGCAGATCAGAGATACAACACAAAATAAGGGATAGATAAACTATTGGATGACAAAATTAGCAAAGAAAGATGTCAGAAGGCTAGAATGTAAAATTGTAATTCAAGTTTTAAAAATCAATACTTATAAGTATAGGATGAGGGAGGGATGACTAGGTAATTCTAATGAAACAGAACTTGTGCGCTATTAATATTAGTGAATATTGTTACATAGAGACCCAATCACCCCCTATTCTCTCCCCCCCCCAAAAAAAACCTAATATGATGTTAGGCAAACATTGATAAATAGAGGCATGGCTTCTAGAATGAAGGAGGTGTCCTACTATCTTAGATATGCTCCCTTTCACTATCCTTCTATCAAAAATTTACTTTTAAGGGACAAGTTCTTTTCTTACACTTTAGGATGTTCTCCCTGAAAAGGTAGTCACTAAGATGATACAGGAATACTTAGAAATAGAGTTTCCCACTAAAAGAACCTTCTTGACTTTTATTCATGTATGTATCAACTTCCAGAAAAACCTAATTAAAAAAGTGAAAACAATTCACAGTGTACTATCTGTGAACATTAGCTTCTTTGACCATGATACTTTTAAAGTAGATTTGAGACTGCTATATTTTAAATGTTTATTTTTCAACAGATTACAGGAAGTTATTCAGGAAGTAGCTAAAGATTATAGAGATCGTTTTCACAGGTAGGTTACAAACTTTTAGTTGGCTCTTTTTTCTTTTTTTACATTTATTTTAATCTATTAGTTTGTTACAAAACAAATTTGCATTTTCCCATTTGAATCAAATAATTGAGAAAAATTGGTAATTGCTACATTTTGATGTGAATTAGCTGGATTTTGAAAAACTATTATTAGAATTGCTCACAGTAAAAACAAAATAATTGAATTAGAAATAAGACTATCTAGTTGTTAGGCATTAAATTTTAGCTATATATTAGTCCGTATTCCATTCTTTGTTTTAACAAAGTGCATCAAATGCAGTTTGATGTTTATAATACTTATTAATCATCCTTTTTCTAGTCTGATATTTTTTAGTGATATAAGTCTTTCTCCATTGTACTGACATTGATATTTAATTGAAAACTCTTCCAGTTATAATAATTAGCACTATGTTGTATTTATGATTACTGCATCTTTCAGAAGTTTTATGCCTGTAAATCAAGTGTTAAGTAAATATGTGTATTAAGTAAAATCATGTTTTCTTTATTAAAGTATGAATCAATTCAAGTACAAAGAACTTATTACGTAAATCTCTCCAAATAAATCAGTAACTTAGCAAATAAATTAGTCACATTCTGTTTCCTAAAACATGCTATTTTTGGTGTCCAATAGAATCATGGAATTTAGTACTCAAAAGGATCTTAGAGATCATATTGTCCAATTCCACTTTCAGTACTAGTGGTTGGGAGATCACTGTAATAGGATAGAGTTTTCTTTCCCTATGCATTTTTTTTTCATTTCCTGAAGATCCAATCAGGCTTACTCTGTAACAAAAAAAATTTCTCTTTTTTCTTAAACTAAGGGCAATATTTTGCCTCTGTTGCTTTTTGGAGTTTATATTAATCTTAAAAGTTAGGAGTACAACCAAGATTGCTCAAAGCCCTCAGTCAGAAAAATCCCTAATGCAATTAATAGTTAAATGTTCACTATTTAGGTCTTCATAAGACCAAACTAACCCTACTGGTATAATTGTTTTCTTGTAATGTCCTTAATGTTCAATCTTTTTTTATATTAGGAGAGATTTTCAGTTTGGACACATAGATGGAAGTGACTATGTAAACAACATGCTGATGGAGTAAGTAAACTGGTATATTAACTTTATGATCGTTTGATAGCTGCTATCTGACTGCAGAATGAAAATATGTGATTTATTCAAATAGTAAGCATTATGTTTAAAAATGATGTTTTTTGTACCTATAAGTATGGTTTGAAAGAAATTTGAGATTAAAATTAAACTGTTCACATATCTTAAGTTTATTTTTTTTTAGAATATCCGTAGCCATTTTAAAATTAGGTAATTAAAGGAATGTTAGTGCATCCTACAGTTTTTAATGGAATTATATTATTCCAGTCGCTGGTCTAATATGTTTCTTAATTATCTGAGTTGTTTTATGATTTCACTAAATAATTGATTATATGTTCGGTAGGTATTAAACTATCCAGTTTATCTAGATGTTTTGTTCTTTAAATTGTAGCTTATAATTTGTGTAAATGCATACATTTTCTTCTGATTGAGAAGCCAAAGAAATCACCCTTTGTAAAATGACATAGTAGGACCTCTGTAGTTTCTCTTACTAGGTAATGGAAACAGAGATACTTTTGAATAATTCAGATTTTTATGATCCAAATATTTCCTAATTCTGATGACCCAAATATATGAAGTTTTATTGTCATCTCACTCTAGCACGTAACAAAAAAGATCCTACATGTGGGAAGAATGTAGTGATTTTAGTATTCTAAATTGTACCAGTTAAAAGTATAGTCCCGCATAATAAATTTCTACTAACTTTTATTAAGAGAAAATCTAGTTGTCTTGACAGTACTCTCTTGCTATCAAGAAGCAATAATAATAATAATAATAAGGATAATAATAATAGCTTTAAGGTTTACAAAGCTCTTTAAAAATATTATTTCATTTGTTCCTTGCAACAGCCCTGGCATGTGGCTGTTATTATCATCCCCATTTTAGTGTTGAGGAAACTGAGGCAGACAGAGGTTTAGTGACTTGCCCAAGGTCACAGAGCTAGTAACTCTTTGAAGATGATTTTGAATTCAGTTCTTCCCAGCTCCAAGTCCAGAACTGTATCTGTTATGCCACCTAGCCATCACTGTGAGAAGTACTGTATTGATAGTAGTGGTAGCTTTAAAACAACCACCACCAAAATAATACTATTTTTACCTTACTGATTAATGCTGTAGTTTCAAACCTTTTTGTTAACATACATTTTTTATTCTATTTTGAAAAGCAAGGTAGACTAAATAAAATACTGTAATATTATTCTCACCTTTCTTTTAGTCTCTCCCCTCAAATATTTTCTATTTTCTCTTAAGAAGGGTATTTTTTTTTAAATGTCTGAAAACCTTTTGTGGTGATGTAAATAACGGAAATTTAGCTGATGCCCTTTTTCACCATTTCACTTATATTGTCAGATTTTTTTGGCATATAGTTGGGCAAAATAGTTCCTAATTATTTTAATTTCCTCTTCATTGGTGGTGAATTCACCCTTTTCATTTTTGATACTGGTAATTTGGTTTTCTTCTTTCTTTTTTTAAATCAAATTAAACAGAGGTTTATCTTTTATTGTTTTTTTTTCATAAGCCCAGCTCTTGTTTTTATTTATTAGTTCAATAATTTTCTTACTTTAAATTTTATTAATCTCTCCTTTGATTTTCAGAATATCTAATTTGGTGTTTAATTGGGTATTTTTAATTTGTTCTTTTTCTGTTTTTTTTAGTTGCATGCCCAGTTCATTGATCTCCTCATTCTCTTTTTTATTTATGTAAGCATTTAGATAAAATTTCCCATAAGTACTGTTTTACTTATGTTTTAAAATGTTGCCTCATTATTGTCATTCTTTTTGATGAAATTATTGTTTCTATGATTTTTTTCTTTGATTTCTTTAGGATTAGATTATTTAGTTCTCAATTTTTAGTCTGTCTTTCTATGGCCCTTTATTACACATAATTTTTATTGTATCATGATCTGAAAAGGATGCATTTAATACCTTTCTGCATTGGATGATGAGTTTTTTATGCCCAGGCACATGGTCAGCTTTTGTGTAGTTGCAATGTACTACTGAGAAAAAAATATATTCCTTTCTATACCCAAATATTCCTTTCTATACCCATTCAATTTTCTCCAGAAGTCTGTCATTTCTTTTCTAAAATTTTGTTCACCTCTTTAACTTCATTCTTGTTTATGTTATGGTTGCATTTATCTAGTTTTGAGAGGGGAAGGTTGAGGTCCCCCACTAGTACAGTTTTGCTGTTTCTCCTTGTAACTCACTTAACTTCTCCAAGAATTTGGATGCTATGCCACTTGGTGCATACATGTTTAGTATTGATATTACTTCATTGTCTATGGTACCTTTGAGCAAGATGTAGTTTCCTTCCTTAACTCATGTAATGAGATCTTTTTCTGCTTTTGCTTTGTCTGAGATCAGGATTGCTACTCTTTTTTTTACCTTTACTCTGTGTGCCTCTGCTTCAGATGTGTTTCTTGTAAACAACATATCATAGGATTCTGATTTTTAATCCACTCTGGTGTCCGTTTTGTGGGGGAGTTCATCCTATTCACATTCACAGATATGATTACTAATTGTTTTTTTCTCTCCATCCTATTTCCCTCATGTTTATATTTCTCTCTCCTTTCTCCCTTTCCCTCCTCACCAGTGTTTTGCTTCTGATCACAACCTTCCTAAATCTGCCCTCCCTTCTATCAGCCCCATTCTCTTTTCTTTCCCCTTTCCCCTACTGCTTCTGCCTTACCTTCTGTCCTCCTTCCTATCCACACTACTTTCTTTCCTCTTTCTCCTCATACTTTCATATAGGGTAAGAGATTTCTATATTCAACAGAATGTGTATGTTATTTCCTCTTTGAGCCAAATCCGATGAGAGTAAGGTTCAAAAAATGCTCACCCCCTTCCCTTCTTTCCCTCTATTATAATAGGTCTTTTATACCTCTTCATGTGATGAAATTTACCCTATTCTGCCTCCCCTTTTCCTCTTCTCCCAGTACAATCCTTTTTCATCACCCCTTTTTTTTTTTAATTTTATTACGTCAAAGTCATTTTATACCCACACCTTCTCTCTATGTATACCCCTTCTAACTAACCTAGTATAGATACAATTCTCAAGAGTTACAAGTATCATCTTCTCATGTAGGGATGTAAACGGTTTAACCTTATTGAATAAAATGTTTCTTTTTTCTTTGCTGCTTACCTGTTTTTGCTTCTCTTGAGTCTTGTATTTGGAGATAAAATTTTCTGTTCAGCTCTGGTCTTTTCATTAGGAATGATTGAAAGTCACCTATTTCATTAAATGTACTTCTTTTCCCCTGACAGATTCAGTTTTGCTGGGTAGTTGATCCTTGGTTGTAATTCAAGCTCCTTTGCCTTCTGGAATATCATATTCCAAGCCTTCAGATCCTTTACTGCTTGAAGTATTTTTCTCTTTGATCTGAAAATTCTGGAATTTGGCAACAATATTCCTTGGAGTTCTCATTTTTGGGATCTTTTTCAGGATGTGGATTCTTTCAATGACTGTTTTACCCTCTGATTCTAGGATATCAGGGCAGTTTTCTTTGATAATTTCTTGAAAAATGCTATCTAGGCCCTTTTTTTATCATGGCTTCAGGTAGTCCAATAATTCTTAATTTATCTGCCCTGGTTATATGTTTTAGGTCAATTCTTTTTCCAGATATTTTACCTTTTTTTTTCTATTTTTTTCATTCTTTTTATTTTGTTTGATTCTTGGTGTCTCAGAGTCATTAGCTTTCACTTCCCAATTCTAATTTTTAAGGAATTATTTTCTTCAGTTAGCTTTTGTACCTCCCTTTGCATTTGGTGAACTCTACTTTTTAAGAAGTTGTTTTCTTCAGTGAAGGTTTTTTTTTCCCATTGGGCCAATTGTATTTTTTAAGAAATTGCACTGGGACCCAAGATCAATCTGAAGAAAGAAAAAATTCAGAAAAAAATAGAAGAAATGGGATTTCATAGATTCAAACAAAATGAACACTAATTCCAAAAGACATTAATAAAAAATACTAAGCAATTCATACTAATAACAAAGGCTGAGATTTTTGTATTTTAAAGTTTACCAAGATCTCTCTCTCTCTGCATATATATGAGTAGGTTTGTATGTTTATATGCGTATGTATATTTGTTTGAGTTTCATACCAACCCTTTGAAATAGGAATTACAAATATTATTGCTATTATATCGATGAGGAAATTGAAGCTCACAAAGGTTGTGATTTGCATTTAATAATAATCATAGATTGAGGCAAAATTTGAGTCTAAGTCTCACTTTACTCCAAGTCTAATATTCTTTACCCTACACCATGCTCTTTGGGGTATTTAGAAGATAGTTTTCAAGTGAGAAGATTAGAAAATTTATTTGTTTTTTTTTTTTTTGATTTTGGTGAAGAATGGAGCATCAATGATTTATCCTTCCATAGATTATTATATAGATGATAATGTGATCATTTGATGCTGTGCAAAATGAAAGCATTTCTATGTTAAAATCAAAATTTTAATATAAAAGGAAATTTTATATGTAACTTGTAGGATTTGTTTTATAATTACGTCTCGTATGTGTATATTAGCTGTTTTCATGATGCAAGACTTTTGGGGTAAGTCAATAAAAAAAATCTCACAGATGATTCACATTAGGAATGCTTACATTAGGGTGGTTATGAGAGTCAAATAAGATATTTGTAAATCACTTAGCACAGTGCCTGGCCTATATGAGATGCTACATATACATACATATATCTGTGTATGTGTATGTATGTATATACACATATACATGCTCGCCATTATTGTTGTTATTATTAGTATTGTAATTCACATGCTTGCAAAAGCAACATTATCTGGAAATACTTCAAGATTAAATAATCTTTAAAAATCCTTCTGGTAATTGAAATAGTATTTTTAAAGCTGAAACAGTACTTAAACCTTAACTAGTTTGATGCCATGATTAGGTCTGTATAAGTTGCTGGTGTTATAATTATTATATATGTAAGGAAATTGGGACCCAGAGAGGTAAAATGATGTCCTCAAGTTCAAGTGGCCTT